GAGGGGAGGGAGGGGAGGGAAGGGAGGGAGGGAGGAGGGAAGAGAGGGAGGGAGGAAACTTATAAAGCCCTCACACATTACTGGTAGAAAGTAAATAAAATGTCACAAAAGCCCCATGAGACCCTGTCTAGCAATTCTTAAATGTTAAGACGTGAGGCTGGAGAGATGGCTGGGTGGCTAAGAGCACTGGCTGCTCTTACAGAGGACTGGGTTTGATTCCCAGCACCCACGTGGTAGCTAACTGTCCTTAACTCCAGTTCCAGGGGCTCTGACGCCCTCTTCTGACCTCCAAGGGCATTGCAAGCCACAGGTGCACTTATATGCAGACCAAACACACATACACATACATTTTTTTTTAAGTTGAAGGGATGGAGAGATGACTCAGCAGTTAAAGCACCGGTTGCTCTTGCAGAGAACCCAGGTTTGATTTCCAACACCCACGGTGGCTAACAACCATCGGTAATTCCAGTTCCAGGGGCATCCAACACCTTCCTCTGACCTCCGAGGGCATGCAACTGGTGCACTTATACACATGTAGGCAATACGCTCATACACATAAAATAAAAATAATAAATAAAATTTTATTTTAAAAAGTTAAAGTGTTACTATACGATCCAGCAACTCTACTCCCAAAATAGAATTTAAAATGTATATCTCGCACCTGCCCTCTGTTCGGTCTCTGTCTTTCTGCTGCTTCTGCCCTCTGAACACTGGCCTTCTTCAGGGGCCTGTAGCAGAGCCCTGCCTTCTTTGCACAGCCCACTTCCTTTCTGGGTGGCTTCAGTGGCTGATGAGTGTGGAGTTCGTGTACCTGGTTCTCTTTCTGGGCCCTAAGGCCAAATATCCAGCTGTTCGTTGGATGACTCCTGGTGGATATCCTACAGATGTTGAATGCTCAGCATGTCTAAATCAGATCTTCCCTTCCTGCAGGCGTGTACTGCCTCAGTGAGCAGCACCATCACCCAGTTGTCCAGACCAGGAACCTCTCTCTGGCTCTGCCACTCTCTAGCAATCAGCCCCCACATTCGGTTGCTCCCACTGTCTCTTGCTTCTCTATCCATTCCATGTAGCGTTCCCATGTAGAAAAAGCTTAGTGAGGGGCTGGAGAGATGGCTCAGTGGTTAAGAGCACTGACTGCTTCTGCAAAGGATGCAAGTTAAGTTCCCAGCACCCACATGGCGGCTAATAACTGTCTGTAATTCCAGTTCCAGGGGATCTAGTGCCTTCTTCTGACCTCTAAGGGCATTTCATGACACAAGTGCACTTATACACATGTAGGCAATACGCTCATACACATAAAATAAAAATAATAAATAAAATTTTATTTTAAAAAGTTAAAGTGTTACTATACGATCCAGCAACTCTACTCCCAAAATAGAATTTAAAATGTATATCCACAGAAAATCGTGGCATGAATGTTCATAACACCCTTATTCATAATAGCCAAAATGTGTAAACACCCACATGTTGACAAGCTAATGCACAGATAAATCCAATGCAGCATGTTCACATGGTGGGAAATTATTTGACAACAAAAAGGAACAAAGTACCTTCATTACTTTTTACATGTTGGGTGCAAACATGTTCATAATTCCACAGCATGCATTAACCTGCAAAGCACGATGCTACGTGAAAGAAACTGGTGATGAAAGGACACACATTATATGGGGCCATTTATTCAAAGTGGCCGGGATGGAAAACACCACAGACACAGAAAGCAGATCCGTGGTTGCTAGGGGAGGGGGACTGGCAAGCTGCTCATCAGGAACTTCCTCTTGGGGCGATGAGCAATGAACGTGTTCTGAATTTGAATAGTGTTGGCAGTGTGACAACCATGCAAATCTACTAAAAATCACTCACTGGGCCATGGTGGCAAACACCTTTAATCAGAGGTCAGCAGATCTCTGTGAGATCAAAGGCAGCCTGATCTACATAGCATGTTCCAGGCCAGCTGGGGCTACAGAGGAACCCTGTCTCAAAACCAAAATAAAACCAAACCACTAAGCTGTACACATCGAAAAGGAGAATTGTATGGTATGGGAATTGTGGCTTAAAGGTATGACTTCAGAATGAAGGCTATCAAAACATCATGTTAGGGGTAAGGATGTTGTCTGGCATGCACAGGCCCTAGGTTTGACACCCAGTGCAGGAAGAATAACAACCAGGCCTGGGAATGTAGCTCAGTATGGATGAGTCATGCAGGAGACCTTACATTCCATCCCTGGCATCACAAAAAAAAAACAAAAAAAACAAAACAAAACAAAAACAGTTGTACATAATAGATTATTAAATTAAAAATAAATAGCAAAATGGTATCCGTAAAAGCCAGGCCAAGGAGCGATGGCAGATTTCCATTAACTCAAGCTAGAAACAAGTATTTCCTTTGCCTCCTCAGCACAGCGGGGAGTGAACCTGTAGCAGCTGTGGTTTTACCTCCTGAAGGAGGAAGATGGGGTTGGAGATGTAGCTCAGTTGGCAGAGTGCTTGCCTAGCATGCACAAAACCCTGGGTTTGATCCCCAGCACCAAATAAAACAGGGCATTGTGGGTAGCTCTGCCTGGCTTCGTCTGACTCCCCACTGACTCCGCATATAAACCACAAGGTCAGTACTAACAATGTTCTTGTGAAAGCTGTGCTTGGTCCTGGCTCTTCCTAAGTTGGCTCAGCCTCATATGCATGAGTGTGTTACTCTGAGGCTTGTCAGGACATTTAACAGAGTTCAGCAGAGGAGACCTTTGGTTCTTATCCTGAAGCTTCTTAAGCCACATTTCCAGGCAAGCTCAGAAATGCCCTGGGAACTGACCCCAGGAGTCAGCAGTGTGAATGACATCAGTCACCAAGGTTAAGCTCAACTAAATGTTTGTCTTCTCTGCACCAGGAAGACAGTCAGTCCCATTGTGACCACGAGTTCCCCAGTCATTGGTTTCACAATTCCTAATTCTAAGAGGCATTTATTTATGAACTAGCCAAGGTGTGGGTATGTTAATAACATACAAGACATTAACTTTTATGCGCAGTTCTTAAAGTGGAAATTTTATAAATTTTTAACATTAGTGTTCATTATAGAATTGTATCCTGGAAAATAGAATAAAACTAGAAGATGCAGAGAAAGTAGTTATATATAGTTCCATAATGGTGGGAAATTTAAATACATATCAAAAATATCATCCCATTACAGGTGAACAAATAATGTAACTGAGATGCTAATCCCTTGTTGAGAGTCGAGAGAGTTCCTCGTCATACTGTGTTCCCAACCATTTCTTCCCGAGCTCTCCTGTATTCTTTCAACAAGTGTTTACTGAGTGTCAAGCATCTGGTGTCAAGCATAGACCGAGGCTGACAAAAACGAACATCCCTAGCCTCAGGAGATGCAGTCTAGTAAGGAAAGCAAAGACATAAATAATATAATTTTAAGTCATAAATCGATATTAAGTTTATAGTATTACTGCAAACCGCTTTGTGATGATTAAGCTTGGTGATTAACCTGACAGAATTGAGAATACCCAGGATATACCCCTCCTGGTGTGTCTATGAAGAGGTTTCCTAGTGCTTTAACTGAGCAAAGAAACACCCATGCGCTGGGGGTTCCCAGACTGAAAGGCAAGGGAAGAGGGCAAAGCCACCTGAAGTTCAGCATTCACGGCTCTCTCTCTTGACTGAAGACACGTCCTGCCATGATGGACTGGCGCTCCGACGGCGAGCCCAAAACAAGCCTCTCCTTCATTCAGTTGCCTTTCTCGGATCGCAGCAATGAGCAAAGTCACTAATACGTACTTCCAGTGCAAGCAGGGACAAAAAGGGTCCTGCTAAACTCAGCGCCGATGAGGCACCAGACACCGGAGCTGCCGCTGCACGTCCTGTGACTCCTCATTTAAGCTCACAGGTCACTGAGAACAAGGCAAAAGACTAGCATCTCAGCCTTCATCTGGTGTCCATCACCTGCTTACACTGCAAACTGGCATGCTAGTCACTCAAGGAGCATTTGTCTCACCTCTCTCATCCCCCTTTAAGACTCAGAGACAAGTCATTGACCTAAACCTGAGGTCACCTCCGATTCCAGGAGGATCTGTACCTTAGAGGACACCCTTCTCCCCAGATGAGGACAGTTATCCTGAAGGCGAGGCTATACCCTGGAACAGAAGTAATTGCTGTGTAGAAACTAGACTGGCGCCCTCAGGTGATGATGGTGATTAAGAGATTATCAATTTATTTGACTACCTTGTAGGGTAGACTGCAGGAGAGAGTGATTGGTGAGTGATGGAAGGCTATGTCGACTGGAGTTGCTTAATTATGCATGCCTCTTAATTCTTCCCCAGTTCTTTCTCTATTTAAGCCTAAAGCTCAGGCCTATGCCTGTACTCCAAAGATGGACTTGGGGGTCACTGGACCCCTGTATCTACTGCTTTTTCCAATTTGGTCACATTGAATAAACCTGTCTCTGCCTTTTACTGTTTCTTTAATTGGCTTATTGGGATGGGTTGCTTGGCCTAACCTATTGGGACTAGAACCTGGACTTTTGCCTTAAAAGTCTAGTAATAGCTGGTCTTTATTACTGGCATTTAACAGATAAAGAAGCTGTAGGTCATGGAGGTTAAATGAACGTCAAGCATCCTGACCTAGACCGCAGATCTATAAATAGTTTTAAACACTGGTCCATCAAAAACATCCTGTGCACTCCACCGAGCTATAGGCTTGAGTGTAAAACTTTGAAGAGTTGGTAATTGTTATTTTTAAATCATGTCTAAAATCCTGGGGAGAAGGAGGAAGAGAGGGAAGGTAGAGGGAGAGATAGAAAGAAGAAGAGGTGGAGGAGAAGGAAGAGAGAAAGAAGAGGGAGAGACTGAGAGAGAGAGAGAGAGAGAGAGACAGAGAGGTGAAGTTCCAAGAAAAAAGGAAACAAAACTGTGCCTGTGCAAAAGGCTGACTGACCACAGAACTTCAGTGACTGTGGAGGTGGAATGTCGCAGGCCCAGAGCCAAACCATCTTGGGTATCTTGAGCCATCTTTATCCCCCTAAACAGTTATTTATTGCCCATATCTGTGTTTGGCCTAACATCCTTGTGATTATCAAGTAAAATCCTCTTTGACATCTATAAACAGACCCCCAGCATCCACCAACCCATAGGTGAAGAATGGCCAACGGTATCTAAGGCCTGCCACAGAGGTTCCCCTCTGCTAGAATCTGCCTGTGGCATGTTTCCTCCAGTGTATCAGAACAATGCCTTGGTTTTTAAACTTTCTTTGTTCTGTGATTTAGTGTTTTTATAAACACTAAATAAAATCAAGTTATCACACTGAAACACGGTATTTGGGGTAAAGTGAATCTGAGCCGTGCTCGCTCATATTCGGTGCCAAAGAATAAACGACTCCCTCTGAGGTAAAGGTTGTGTTGCTGTGTTTCTGTGTCAATGAGAGAGCGAGGGAGACAGAGGGTGGAAGGGACGGAGGGGGGAGGGACGGAGGGAGGGAGGGAGAGAGGGAGAGAGAGAAGAAGAGGGAGAATCGGGAGTTATAGCTAATGAGCCTGTAGTTGTTCAAGGGAAAATCCAGCTGTGTGAACAGAATTCTACCTACTGGTGGCTGAGTGATGATCCAGTTGCACTATCAAATGGCTCCACTGTCATGGACCCCCTCATCCCCCACTAAAAAACCCCCGTCGTACCTCTTCACTGCTGTTAGACTCAGATGTGGAGGCCCAGCGGCAGTGAGCCCACACGTCCTGCACCTGCTCAGCAGACATCTGCACGGTGCTCCTGCAGGCAGCTGTTGGCTAGCAAAGACAGTCATGAGTTCCAGCAGCAGCCTCTAGACAATAAATCGGGCAATCCTGTAGGGTTTGCAAAATGAGGTAGAAAGGAGAAATTCGGAGGTAGCCTCCATTTTCCAGAGTGACGACTTCTGGAGAGCTAAGCATCAGGAAATGAAATACTTACATCTCTCCACACCTTTAATACAGGTCTCCAAGAAAAGCCTGCTTTCCCTCATATGCACTGAGAGCTTCTGGGAAATCCCTGGAACAGCAATACCGAATGATGGAGATGGCACAGGGCCCTGCTCTCAGATCTGGCTAGAAGTGTGTGCATGTGACGGTCCTTTGTAAAACAGTCACAGTGAAAATTTTCATGAGAAAAATTTTCCATAGTGAGACCTCAGGAAGTCATGCATCTGGCTGCAGTTGTAGGACTGATGGTGTCACTCTGATCAGAGAGGGTTCCATCCCACAGGGGCTGAGTAATCTGGTCACGAGGATTTCCCAATAGAAATCCATCTCCATTTTAAAGAGTAGGAAGCTGAGGTAGTAAGGTTAAAGAATTTACTGAGATCACCAAACACTACAGATTTCATAGCTTAAGAGCTCACACCCTGAACCATCAAGGACACAGCCCATGTCAGGGAACACTATGATGAGACTGTGTGGCTGAATGCCACATGGACAACAGTCGATCTCCTTCGGTGACTCCTGGTTCCCTTCAGTCATGGAAGTAATGAGGTTCTCCCTTACATTACTTTTGGGGTCACTTACCACATAGTAGCCCCTTTGGAATACACAGGTGGACGGGTCTTCTCCAGAATCTCTCAAGCATGTAGTTTCTCGAACACTGAACTCTAAGTTCATGATCAAGGTGTCCTCATCCAGGGCATTGACCTTCACAAAAGCAAAGCATCAGTTTACTGTAGACTCCTTTCTCAAGTTTATGGAGCAGTATGGCTCTCTGACCAATGAGAAGGCACTACCCACCTATCCACTTTGGAAGCTGTACTCATACTTAACCCCAGAGAGAAAAGACATGCATCCATCACTGACAAAAATGAAACCAGAGATGCTGAGCGTGGTGGCACATACCATAATCTCATCACGCAGAACAAGGCAGAAGGACCCCAAATTTGAGGCCAACCTGAGTTACAGAGAGACCCTATCTCCTCCCCCAAAAATAGAGCAATTGGACGGAAAGGGGGACAAGGACAGCTGGAGGAGACAGAATGGATGTGTATATCAATGCCAAGTCCAGCAATGCGTGTGAAGATTTACACTGCCTTTTTCTCAGTGCTCATGGATTCCACCCTGGTGAATTTTCGGAGTCACCAGACGTTATTTGTAACTCCCATGTTAGATGCTGCACTTTAGTTCACAGACATGTACGAGGTGACAAAAGGTTTGAGTCATCCTGTGTGCACGTTGCTGAGAGGAGCTAGGAGATGCTCTGCCTTGTGTTCTTACACCATAAATGGGGTGCTGTCTGCTCTGTTGGGAACCACCTAGTTGGCATTTTGTGGCTTCTGTGGGTCATCTCAGCCCCAGTCAGTGCAAAGAAGCCATCGGGTATCAAGAGGGAACAACTATAACACATGCTTTATGCAGAAAACGTGCATTCACTAAGCTCCATTTAGGTGGGACTCCCAGGTCCCGTGGCAGTGAGTTCTATGTTAACGCATCTATAATGTATATTGTATTAAGTTCCCTTAAGCAGAAACTCACAAAAACAAGGTTATGTATTGATGGGTCCATGAAAGCATTGTGGCCCGAAGCTCTCAGGAACCTGATTCTGAACTTCCCCGGGAGTGGTGATCTATTGTTTGCAGAGTCAGTGTTCAACGCAAATTTATAGAATACAAGATGAATCGATTATGTGGGCTTGAGTCACCTTCTTAAACAAAGAAGGCTTTACACTTGCTTATTAATTCATGGACTGAATAAACGAGTCCAGGCTATCTCTGCTGCACTGTACTGTCCAAGTGGCTCTGTTTGAGCACCTCTGACCTACGACTAAATTAACATTGTTCAACCTCTGTCTACCACGGGTGGGATCCTGGGGAGTCTTCCAAACTTTCCGACAAACCTGGGAGGTATGAGGTCAGAGGTGTGGTGACATGCTGAGCCCTATGTGCTGAGCACGAGCACCTGAGGCAGAGCAAGGTGCCAGGTAGCTGTGATTCCGGAATGGGTGGTACCCAGCAAATGCACAAGACCACTCCAGTAGTCGCAGCACTCCGAAGACAGAACGCGCATAAAGGGGGTTAAGGGAGGAGGGAGCTACATTATCAAAAGACCCAGAAGGCCTCCCCAGAGGAGGGAAACTTTATGCTGAGACTTGAAGGATAGGAAGGTGCTCATTGTGTGAAGATAAAACAGAGCCAACGTCCTGGGATGAAGCCAAGTCTGGCCTTCGCTTACCAGAGCAGTTTGACCCATGTTATCAGAGCAATTTGAAGAAAGGAAAACCATTTACCTCAGTGTTGGAGATGGGGAATGTCAGACAACTTGGGGTCTTTACAGAAGAGTCAACCAAGGCTCTTTTGGACCCATCTTAATTTCTGTAACCCAAAATCACCTGGCTATCCCGTTGGTGTTCCCTCCTAAGCACTCCTGTGATTCTCCCTGAGCAGGATGAGGGGCTTCCACACCCTTGGATTCTGCTTCTCTTTGAATTACAAATTCTGTCTTTATATTATGTTCCTCTTCTCTCATTTCACTACAAGCGGCTTGGAGAAGCCTTGAAGCACTTTGCTGATGCTCTGTTTCTTGTCAAATACCCTGGTTTACTTACAGAGGTTGTGAAGAAACAGAGCAAAAGCCATCTTATAACTTGGCAGTCCTGAGGAAGTCTTTGACACCTATGGGGAACAGTCATGACAATGACGTCAAGACCAGCTCTGCTCTGGAACATAAGGACAGGTCATGGAGAGCTCAGCTAGGCCAGTGCATGCTCAGGAGGTGCTGGGGGCAACAGGAACAGGCAGGCAGGCAGGAGAGTAGCACAGCGAGGAAGGAAAGTGTGTCTTTTGTGTCTGTAACAACCACACCTGTCATCTGTAAGTGGCCTATCTTTGGGTGCACGGACTGTGGGGTCAGGCCTCGGTGACTAGACCCAGATGGCCACATGCCAGAACATATCCAGTTGGCCATGTCTCAGAGGCCTGTCCAAAGTATCCCCAGTTAGCGCTCTCAAAATCTGTTTTCATGCTCTTACTTAATGAATTACTTGGTAGTGAACAACGTAAGTGAACTTAAACTGTTCGCCTGCAAGCTTAGCATGAGGACATGGGTTCTACAACATTCTAAGAAGATTTCAGACAGTGTCAGTGGGATTCGGCAGGGAAGCCAGTAGCAGCAGAGTGTGAGGAAGAGGATCTTTTATCTGACCACGCCCACTCTCAGTGCCTCCCCTCTCTGACCACACACCCACCCCAGTGCCTCCCCTCTCTGACCACACACTCACCCCAGTGCCTTCCATTCTGACCACACACCCACCCAAGGCCTTCCATTCTGACCACACACCCGCCTCAGAGCCTCCCCTCTCTGACCACACCCACCCAATGCCTCCCCTCTCTGACCACACACCCACCTCAGAGCCTTCCATTCTGACCACTCCCCAGAGCCTCCCCTTCTGACCACACCCCCCCCCCAGAGCCTCCCTTCTCTGACCACACACCCACCCCAGTGCCTTCCATTCTGACCACACACCCACCCCAGTGCCTCCCCTCTCTGACCACACACCCACCCCAGTGCCTTCCATTCTGACCACACACCCACCCCAGTGCCTTCCATTCTGACCACACACCCACCCCAGAGCCTTCCCACTACAACGTTCAGTGCTGACCTTGACAGCTGAGTCCTAGGGTGGGTACCTCATTACACCTCAGCACAGTCTTCAGGACCTATTACCCAGCTATGAAAGGCAGCTAGGACAGTTCAATGAATTTGCTCAGACTTCAGAAAAGAGAAACAGAATCAGTATCTGCAGAAGAGAGTTGAGGGGTACATGACCTACTTGGAGACAGGAACTGGGAACTTAGTGTGTACTCAACTGAGGAGCAGTGGAAAGAGGAGAGAGAGGGAGAGAGAGAGAGAGAGAGAGAGAGAGAGAGAGAGAGAGAGAGAGAGAGGAGGCAGAGAGAGAGAGAGAGAGAGAGAGAGAGAGAGAGAGAGAGAGAGAGCAGGTCCAGAGAGAGAGGGGAGAAGGAGTAGGCAGTAGAGACTGGTGGCCCTGTAGCTCTGCCAGGGCGTCATGGCTGCCAGGCCACCTGGCCCCATACTTGTCTTACCGAGCCTGGCTGCTCTGCTCCCCACACCCCTCACTTGGACCTCAATTCCCTGGAGGGTGTTTCTGTCCCTAGCTTTCTGTGAGCCCCTCTAAGGCCCTAAGAAGACAATGAAATTCCTAGGAGGGAACACGTTGCCTGTGTCTCTCGCCTCCAAAGGGCACGCTCCGTTCTTCCCTTCCTATAGTCACTGCATGTCCAAGACAGTGTCCCTTGGTCCCCAGGTGACCTGGAAACAGAATGTTAGCAAGGTGATGAAGGCAGGGGGTTTCTTTGGCTCAGAAGCCAGCATTCTCTTCCTACAAACGTCGGGAGTCCGAAGCGAACGGGAAGAGGCTTCATTTCGGCCAGAAGGACTCGGGGCTCTTCGTCCAGAACCAGGACACGAGAGACAGAAGCCAAGATCAGAGGGACAACACAGAAGAGTCAGCTGTCCCAAGAAGCTTCAAGAGCCTCGGGCCAAAAACAGTAATTAAATCTCTTCTTGCGCCAAAGAGCCAGCATGAAAGAGGAGGACAGGCTGTGATCTTTGTAAGCAGGAAAAGAAAACAGTCTATCAAACAGACCGAAGAGAAGACAGAGGTGATAGTGAAGAAGGCCGGAGACACGTCCCCAAACACTCACTCTCTTCAAGGAGCTCTGGAATGCCCGAAACAGGTAAGGGCTCAGCGACTGAGAGTTCACCTTCGCCACCGAGGCGCTGAGGGCTTCCTGCAGGGAGGAAGGACTGTAGTCGTACACCGGGAAACCTGAACACCAAGCACAGAGGCCACAGTGAGAGGGGCCGGAACAACAAGAGAGATAGCTGGCTGCGGTCCATGCCGTGTCCCTTACCTGAACAGCAAGGGTACTGTGTTCCCAGCACCAGTACGAACAGTATCTGCAGCACCGTCTGCTCCATGGTGAGATCCAGAGCCAGGGAGATCATCTCTCTAATGACAACTCTTTTGGGGAGCCACCGTCCCTGTTGACTGTGACCTGAGTGCCCTCGCTGACTAGAGCAATCTGGAACTTAAACAGAGCCAGTTGATCTGGGGTCAATATTTACTGCTGACTTTTCCTATGGAAAAGTTCCAGGCTGAGGCCACTTTTGAAGTTTAGGTTTCTCAGGGGGACTTTAGCCAGGAGCAGGAGACATCAAGAGATTTAGGTCTTCACATGTTTATTTTGTCTCTTTGAATTTTGTTCTTTGATGGGGGAGGGGACATAGTTGTAGATTCAACAAAACGGTGAATTTGAAGTGGTTGTGTGTCTTTATTTCCTTTCCTGGGCCCTCAAAATCCTGTACCTTCCATCTCTCCATGGAGCTCTCTGCTTCCTCCCTTCCCAGGGCCTGCCACGTGCCTGTCTGATCAGCACTGTGTCCCCTCCAGTACGCTACAGGCACCATGATTCAGGGACTATGATGACCATGTTTGTTACACTGAGCATAATAAAGTGTGTGTTGGATGAGTGACTACATGACCACACCAGGTCTCTCTGAACCGTATTCAAAGACTTTCTATTTGAAGCTGGCACTAATTTCTGGTGCCTAACAGGTACATGCGGCACAGTGATATGAGGCGACGACCACTGAAAGTTGTAAGTCCACTACTTTTAACCTGGTGTGAACTCAATTCCATTAGAGTCTTTCTGACTGAACTAATGTCCCCATCTGGCTCCCAGCGCTCCGGTCTCATTAAATGAGCAGTCATAATAAAAAGCAATTGCAGAAGAGGAGGAGATGAAGGAGACCCCAACAGCATCACGATGCCGACACACGGCTATTGATTTTGTTGGAGGGTGGATTGCTGGATTTCTCAGATCTCTTGGCTATAATTAAGTGTTAGCAGCAGCCTGCAGTCTCTGATGAGGGCTAAATGTAATGATTTTAAATCGCTCTGCAGAATTTTCTCATGTCTAATAAACCCAGAAGATTAAACATAAGCCACTCACTGAAACCCAGGCTACGGTGGTTTCTTCTTATTCCTTCTCCAATCTATAGAAATATGTGTCATCTTAATCCCAGCCAGTCCAATGGCAATTACTTAGTAAAGATATTAAAAATTAGGTGGCTGTAAGTGAAGTATTGTGCAGCTTTTTGAACATAGTCCCTGGAAAATTATATAAAATTCATCACAGGCCAGGCGTGGTGGCACATGCCTTTAATCCCAGCACTTGGGAGGCAGAGGCAGGTGGATCTCTGTGAGTTCAAGACCAGCCTGGTCTACATAGTGAGTTCCAGGACAGCTGGGGCTACAAGGAGACCCTGTCTCAAAAAAGACAATAAAAGACATAAAATAAAATAAAATATAAAATAATAAAAAATAATAAAATAAAATAAAATTTATCACAGAATGCTTAACAAGAGCAGCTGGGAACATGTGGACGAGGACGGGATGGGTGGGCAGCTGGGTCATCAACAGGTAAGACACAGTGCTGCCCACACCCGCCGCCATCTCTCCCAAGGCCCTCTTACTTTGCACATCACTACCTATAGTCAGGTTATTTGAGGAAGAAAAACAAAAAACACTAAATTTAGAACAAACATAAACTGAACTGTCTGCAGATCCCAAACCCATGAATCTGTGGCCACCTTCTAATTTTTCACAGTATTGTGATTTCTAAACTGCTCCAGGGCCAAGAGTTACGCTTTCTCCTGATGACCCCACGCCTCCGTTTCTTGTTCTGGAAATGTCAACAGCGCCATCAGGATGGTGATCTCTCCACAGCAGCGAAGCTCAGCTTGGGCATCCCCAGCCTCAGCACCACCAAGAACGTGCCAAAAATTGGCATCTCCCAGTTTTACCCAGAACCACCTTAGTTTGCTTTCAATTGCTGGAACAAAATCACTGACCAAAACCAACTCAGGGAGGAAAGGGTTTATTTCATCTTGCATCTCCCAGGTCACAGCTCATCACTGAGGGAAGCCAAGGCAGGATCTCAGGGCAGGAACCTGGAGCACAGGCCACGGAGGCACGGCGCTTACCGGCTTGCTCCTCTGGCCCGCGCTCAGCCTCTTATAAGACACAGGACCACAGTGGCCTGGGCCCTCCCACATCACTCAACAATCAAGAAAATGCCCCACAGATGAGTCCACAAGGCCAACCCAACAGAAGCAATTCCCCAACTGAGGTTCCCTCTTCCCTAGTGTGTCACGTTGACAACTAAAGCTGTCAGCACACTGCCCAGCAGAGACTCCAGAGAGATGACCAGCTGCCTGAATGTGACAGCTGTCTTAGCTCATTTTCTGTCACTACAGTAAAAACACTGGCCAAAAGCAACTTGGGGAAGCAAGGGTTTATTTGGCTTACAGGTTACAGTTCATCAGTCAAAGGAAGTCAGGGCAGGAGCTCAAGCAGGAGCCTGGAGGCAGGAACTTATGTAGAGACCACAGAGCAACACTGTTTGCTGGCTCACTCCCCCGGCGTGCTCATCTACTTTTCTTTTATAATTTTTTAGAATTTTTATTACAAAGAGTACCTAAATGTAAAATAACCCTCACAAAAACTTTACCACATACAAAAAAAATCACTCAGCATTCCAATGTATGAGCTGATATATATATATAATCTTATATATATATATATAATCTTTGGTTTTTACATATACTGTTTCATGCAATACACACTAATATATTATTTTCATTAATTAGTGTCATAGATATGTTTTACAACCAAATACACATATTTATTAGAATAAGTAACAGAACCTTTCTTAGAGCCCAGGCCCACATGCCTAGGGATGGTACCACCCACCATGGGCAGGGCCCTCCTACATCAATTAGCAGTTAAGAAAATGCCCCACAGACATGGTCACACGTCAGTCTGATGGAGGAAATGCCTCAGCTGAGGCTCCTTTCCCCAAGGTGACTCTAGTTTGTGGCAAGTTGATAAAAACTAACCTGCACAACAGACTCTCCTCCCACATGACTCTGGTCCACACTCAAGTGTGCAAAGTGCTAATATAGAACTGAAGGGACTTGCCCATGACTCAGCAGGTCTTGTGACTTGACTATGAAATGTCTCCCACAGGCTCCCGTGTCTCAGGCTGCCACGGCCAGGGACAGGAGTGGAAACTGTGGGAGGCGAAGCTTCCTTAGAGAAGGTAACTCACCCAAGGCTGACCCTGAGGAGCATTTCCTTCCCCTCTCTCCTGCTCTCTCTGCTTCCTGGCTGCCTGGGCAGGAGCACCTTCAGGCCTCCGGACCCCCCTCATGCTATGTTCTGTTGGACCATAAAGTAGATCTGTTTTAGGAATTTGAGAAAGCTTCATACTGTTTGTTGCTGTTGTTGCTGTTTACATAGCAGCTGTACCAGTTTTTTCTCCCTACTGACAGTGCTCAAGAGCTCTAGCATCTATCAAGCCTACCAAAGCTTGTTATTTTCTGTTCTTTGAACAATGGTCACCCTAGCAATGTCAGGTTAAAAATCTCACGGTGGCTTTAGTTTGCACTTTCCTCATGATGGTGGTTGGGTCTCTTTTCATATTTCTGTTGGCCATTTGTGTGTCTTCTGGTTTGATTCATTTGAATCTTTTTAGTTAGGTTAGTTCTAGTCCTTCGAAGTCTAAATGTAGGCATTTTCAAAGGAGCTGGCTCCATCAGCACCCTGAGTTGAGTAAGAACAAAATAGTCCCTGCTCAGCCATTCAAACAGCCAGACCATTCAAAATACCTTCCCACCCTGCCTCCCCCCC